TCAGCGTGGAAATGTCGAGCCGTCAGCGGAACAGATAGCTAGCTTCGCTCTCAATCTCATCGCGCAGCTCCTACTGGGGTTCGACAAGACGCTCGCCGACTTCAACCTTCCGGCACCAGCTTTTCGAATAGACGAACTCGAGGGCAATTGCTTTATCATAGAGCAGCTTGCGTTCGATGCCAATGCCTTAAGACAAGAGACTGACCGTGACATTCAAACTCTTAACGCCGATCAGCTCAACGCTTACCGTGAGGTCATGCTGTCCTGCAACCAAGGGGACGGCCGCATATTCTTTGTAGACGGTCCAGGCGGAACAGGAAAGACGTACTTGGAAAATGTCATGCTGAAATCGGTACGTAGTCAAAAGAAAATCGCGCTTGCAGTCGCATCCCCCGGCATCGCAGCGCTGCTGTTGAGCGAGGGACTTACGGCGCACACAAGATTCAAGATTCCTATCGAATTGAAGCCAAACGCGGTATGTGCGATCAGCAGACAGAGCAACCTTGCAGAGATGATCCGCCGTACGACGCTAATACTGTGGGATGAGGCCCCAATGATGAGTAAATTTGCTTTCGAGGCTGTGGACCGCACGCTACGTGATATAAGCGATCGGCCGAGCTCGCCGTTTGGAGGGATCACTTTCGTTATGTGTGGCGACTTCCGTCAGGTCCTACCTGTCGTCCCAAAGGGCCTACGTCCAGACGTTGTCGCAGCTTCAATTAAGGAGTCTTACCTATGGACGCATGTGAACGTCTGGCATTTGCGAAAAACATGCGCGCCGTCGAATCCAAGCCAACCGCAGACCTCGGAAACAAGACGTTTGCAGATTGGCTGCTTGCTGTTGGAGAGGACCGGCTGGAGAAGCTTGACGAGGACCGTATACGCTGCCCTGAAACAATGGTTATTGACCCTCAATCTCTCGACGGGCTGATTAATTCCATTTATGCTGGCGTTGCGGATGCTGTAATGAATCTACGAGAGTACTTCAGCCGTCGTGCTATCCTTGCCGCCCGCAGCGACAACGTTGCGGACATCAACACGGCGGTACTCAACATGATTCCTGGAGGGACTTACGAATTCCTCAGCGCCGACAAGGTTGATGACGAGGAGGGCGCCAATGTCATTCCGACCGAGTATGTAAACCGACTAGACATAAATGGCTGGCCGCCACATCGCCTGCAGCTTAAAGTTTCCTCACCCATCATGCTCTTACGGAACTTGGATGCATCGAGCGGCCTGTGCAACGGCACCCGTCTCATCGTACGCCGGTGCTCCCCACGTGTTATTGAAGCTGAAATTTGACGGGAGCTCACGCTGGATACGTGTGCTTCATCCCACGGATCGCGCTAATTTCCGAGCAGTCAGGTCTTCCATACGCCGTCAGGCGGAAGCAGTTTCCTGTTCGCTTGGCTTACGCAATGACAATTAATAAGTCCCAGGGACAGACACTGCAGCGAGTGGGTATATGTCTTGCAAAAGACGTATTCTCGCATGGACAATTGTACGTTGCCTTCTGTATATTATAGCGTTACAGAAATTCGCTAATGTGTATTCGGCGGAACGACGGGTTTACATTGGCCTGATTGCACATTGACTTCAATACCTATTAATTTACCTAATATAACTTGATATTCTAAGCAGAGTGATTGACCAGTATACATGTACTGTAGGGGTATCCGTCGGAACGACGGGTAAATACCCTCGTCTATATAATAAAAGAATACTGTCTGTCTGTCTGTCCGTTTGATCCTTTTTCGGCATTCAAATTGGCTAAATTTTTTTCATTTCAATTTTGGATTGGCTGATTATGCATTTTGGCTGATTTTGCATTGGCAGAGTTTGCATGTTGCACTATTACTACATGTGCAGATATTCATATCAGAGAATTAATGTGTCGTACTTCTGTCTATAACATCAATATACGAAACGATGGCACACATATGTGTTCAAATTCATCACTACATATTGCAATATCAAACGCAGCTTTTTATAATAATAAATGAGAGACATTCCTAATTTTTTTATTAAAACATGGGCTCAGTCCTCAAATGCCCAGTCCTCATATATACTTTATACCTTGGCATTGGCTAAATCAAGCGTTGTCATCAGGTTGTACTGGAATCAATTATATGACTCATATGTATTGTGTCATACTCATTTAGATTCCTCAATCAACCAGATGTTGTAAATTAAAAAGATGGGTACGATGTCAAAAGCAGGCTTCGCGCACCGTGTCGTCGAAACGACGGGTACAAATTGACCTTTGAAACGACAGGTACACTTTGCTCTTCTTACCCATTGGCTATCAACTATATTAATTTACTTGAGAAAACTGGATATATAATAAGGTAAAATGGTGGGCCAATATGCTATCAGCGTAAAATTTGCGCACCTATGTGTCGGAACGACGGATTAAGATCCTAAACCTTAGTATCAAAAGCTGCATACAGACTGAAAGTAGCATAAAAACTGATTGACACACCAACATTCGGTCCTTTCCATTTGATTTATTTATATTTATGGTTCGCTCGGACCTTTCCGTCACAACGTCGGATGAACACAATTACTTATTTGCATTAACGTAAGCAAATTTCCATCACTTATATTTTGAATTAGTAATATGTATCAGGTATAGCAATAAATTTCGTCGGACATCCATTTATAGAAATGGGTATCATGACTAGAATTTGTATAGTAATGTCCATTAGTCCATCATGCTATATAATTAAATGGAAATTGCACGAAACGATGGATACACACTGCATTTTATACCCATCACTATAACCTTAGCCGACCCGATTTATTAAGTAAATGATGCATATATATATACTACTTCGCACTGTCGGAACGACCGGTGAATGCCCTAACGAAACGCTGCGTTAAAGTTGGCCATATCTATTAGCGTAACTTTTGCACGCATGTCCAACGGATGAACACTCAAGCAAATCACTGCGCTTCAGGTGCCTATATAATCTAATATGCACCGTCGGAACGACAAATAAACATCCTAGCAGATTGTTGCGCATAAAAAACCTGCATATACAACTTTGTACCGTTGGAACGACGGGTGATCAAATGAAACCTTTACGAAGCGACGAGTACACGTTGACCTATATATCCATCTATACCCTGAGTCAATTCAATCATTTAACGTTAAATGATGAGCTTACAGGTCAAAAGGCAGACCATGTTCGTCTAAACGACGGGTGAACACCCTAACTTTCAAAACGATAGGTATACATTGACCTTTATACACATTACCTTTGATACGTATGTAATTACCTAAGTCAATATACGGTCAGCGCCAAATTTGTGCACCTATCGGTCGAAACGACGGGAACACTCCTTTATATGTATAAATAATAGCATTAAACCATGTCCGTCGGAACGACGGGTACACACCCTAGTAATAAAAGAATACTGTCTGTCTGTCTGTTTGATCCTTTTCCGGCATTCGGATTGGTTACTTTTGCATTATTTGCTAATTTTGGATTGGCTGTTTTTGCATTTTGCACGAAAATTACTTGAGCTAAGTGCGTCTGGGTACATGTTTCCTATATATAATTAAGTCACGAAACGATGCGTTTCAACCTTCATAACCATCATTACATATAGCTATATCAACACAGCTTTTATGAATTTTAGATGAAACACATGCTTTTTATTCGTTTCAATCCATGGGCTCAGTGCTCAAGTAATACTTAAGAAGTTGGCAAAAGTAAGCGTTGTCATCAGATTAAAGTGACTTCGACTCAAATTTAATGCATCATTCGTATCAATTTCAATTCATGGGCTCCGTACCCAGATAATACACGAGGAAGTTGGCAAAAGCAAGCGTTCTTATCAAATTTTATTAGAGGTATAAGTGATGTGACCCATATGTGTTGTATTTGTATTTTGTATATATTGTTACATGGGCAGATCTTCATAAAAGAGTGTCCATATGTCGTGCTTCTATCTATAAAATGTATATACGAAACGATGGCACACATAAATGATCATATTCATCGTCTATATAATAAAAGAATTATGTCCGTCCGTCCGTAGTGCCTGAGTCAACCAAATATTCTAAGGTAAAAAAGATGGGTACGAATATCAAAAAAGTAGACTTTACTCACCATGTCCGTCGAAACGACAGGTACACACTGACCTTCCTACACATTGTGTAACGGGGTTACACGACGGTTGTAGCGTCTTTCCGAGAGTTTACGCTTAAACTCTCCTTTCTATTGCATATAATGCATTATTATACTTCTCTTTAGAGAGGTATTAAGTATGAGCGTTATAATACGGTATTCGGTAATACCGTATCTTATCGATTGGGATTCGATAAATCACTAACGCTGTATTAAGTACATCATACACAGATGTTTAGACGATACGTCGTCCAATAGCAAAGTCTGCATATAATAATTACTATTATAGTAATTAATCTAGTGTAGTGTACTTAGAGTAGGACTATTCATAAAATCTTAAAGCATAAATATAATCAGTTCTCCTTTTGAGTTTAAGATCGCAAGTCGTTCTGACTTGTTCTCTTGTGCACTTCGTGCGTTGGTTCTCTGAACCCCTAAGCTTCTAGCTTGTTCTTGCACTCTGTGCGTTGGTTCTCTGAACCTTAAGCATATTGCTTTATTGACTAAAAGTCTCTTTCCTAATTCCTTAGAACAGGGTGACTTTAAGTCGTTTAATTAGTTCCTTAGAACTAAGTGGCTTTTAGCCTTCACTCTATTTAGTTCTCTAGAACTAAGAGGCTTCCAGCCGAAAGTCTTCCTCTGGTTAAAGAGCTGTATAGCTCCGCTACACTTGGTAGCACTTGTAGTCAATCCTACACCTGAGTCCTTAAAGACTGACCCTCTGTGAGAATGAAGAATCAAAATCACCTCTCTGAGGCACAACGACTCGCCTTAGATAAACTATCTGCGTTCGTTGGGCCCGATCAAATCGAGGCCCTTTTGACATAAGGCCCCGAGGTTCTAAATGCTCGCCTTGAGGCCTTTATGCGTTATGAGGCAACGCTCCTCGGGCAGGTCCATGACCAGGCAGCGTCAGCCGCGCCTATACAGTACATTCCGGTACCTGTGACCGATGCAGAGCCAAAGGCTCGTCCACTTGTTTTAAGTGTCGAGACCTTCGAGGGGAAGGAGGGAGAGAATCTTCTCCTCTGGATCCGAGAAGTTGAAATGGCAATGAATGCCGCCATGCTTGTATCCGATAAGCAACGAGTTGGCTTGGCCATTTCTAAGCTCGGTGGAAGAGCTAGAGAGTGGGCTCTAACGAGCGATGTCTCTGTAAATGCTGCATTTCCCACATGGGAAATGCTTAAAAAGCAATTAACTTGTGTGTTTGCACCGCCTAATCAGGCTTATCGTGTGCGCTCACGCTTCCTAGCTACCCGACAGGGTAAGAAAGAATTGTCGGACTATGTCCAAGAGTTGAGAACTCTCATTGCTGCTATGCAGCAGGACCCACTGGCAGAGGAAGTCCGAGTAACCATTTTTATGGAAGGACTTCGCACTGGGGTCGCCAGGACGGAAGTTTTCCGTGTCCAGCCTTCAACTTTTGAGGAGGCAGTAAGCGTAGCGTTTAACGCTGAATTTAATTATAAATCTGCTCGATATGGTCTGCCCTGGTATCAATCAAATACCTCTAATAGGGCGGAACCCATGGATCTCAGCCATGCTGAAGAAGCTGAGCTTCAAGCTGCTGAACAGCAAGGTAGCATCCGTAGATGTTATATGTGCGGAAGCACTAGGCATCTCCGCCCTAGCTGTCCGTTGCGAAAGCAACGTTCAAATCGGCAAAGCCGAAACCCTGCTCCTAGCCAAAAGGCGAGCACCGCAGGGGAAAATGTCGACTCCCAGTAGGCGCGGGGCGCCCTACTGGGAAAGAACTAAGTTCTGTTGAATCTTTAGGAGGTAAAGGTAAACAGGGCTTAGCCCCAGGTGGTTCTGTGGATGCTCCCATAGAACAAAATTACAAGCCAGGCATGTTGATTGTGTCGGCAACCGTTAAGGGTTTTGAGAAACCATGGTAAATTTTAATTGACTCAGGGGCGTCAGGGAATTATGTCCGACGTCGCTCCCTTGAGGGGGAGTCAGCTGTATGCTGAGGCGCTAGAAGCGCAAGAGGGTGACAGTATAACCGTACGTCTCGCGACCGGTGTACGTGTCACCGTTCCTAAAGTTCCGTTGAACTTAGGTTTGAAGTTCTTAGACTTCAGTAGCGTTGAACGCTGTCTTGTCCTAGATTTGGACTCGAGATATGATCTAATTCTCGGTATGGCCTGGCCGAAACGCCATGAGCCGTGGATCGATTGGAGATCCAAAACTTTAGGCGCAACGCGCAATGATCCTAGCGAAGCTTTGGAGAGTAATGAATCCACCTTCGCTAGAAAACAAAAGTGCTATTGGCGCGAGCCATTAACTGATTCAGTTAGTGTGCTGGACATTGGAGTGTCTGAGTTGATAAACTCCGATGTCAACAATAATAGTGTCGAGCAGAGCTCAATGACACTTAGTGGAACGGCACGTATTCCGTTGAGTGATACTCAAAGTAATATTGAGACACTGGATGTCGGTAATGACATCGGCTCTCGTATAGAGCAAGTGAAGGTCGATGACCTTGTTAGTGATATTGGCTGTAAATGCGATTTACTGGATGTCGGTAATGACATCGGCTCTCGTATAGAGCAAGTGAAGGTCGATGACCTTGTTAGTGATATTGGCTGTAAATGCGATTCACTGGATGTCGATAATGACATCGGCTCTCGTATAGAGCAAGTGAAGGTCGATGACCTTGTTAGTGAAGTCACTGGTACTAGTGACCCACTGTGTGTCGGTAATGACATCGGCCCTCGCATAGGGCAGGTTAAGGTCAAGGAATCTGTTGACCTTGGGGACGATAACATCCCAAGTACTTTGAAGAGTACGGTCTCGTCAAGGAGACGGCAGCGTCGTCAGATGGCGGCTGCGAGACGCAAAGCGTCTGTTTTATCGCATAGTAATGTCAATGACCAGTTGTACACCCTGGTCAACGGAGTGACAGGTGATGTAGATGGTGAGGTTGACCTTGAGGCCCTCCCATCATTAAATGCTCTTTTAGAGCTAGACGAAATGTCTGTGGATGAATTTCATCAGGCCTTGAAGGCAGGTGCTCTATCCGATATGGTGGTCATTCGACCTAACCTCGAGTTGAACTCATCCTCGCTTGTCGATGAGACAGTCCTTGAAGATACCAAAGCGGCACTAAGTGCACGTAGTGGGGCATTTATTCTGAAAAACCCTTCAGATCCCTACTATCCTTTGGTAAAGGAATTCCAGGACGTGGTGTGTCACGATCCACCGTCGGTTCTACCACCTGATAGGGGCGTACGTCATGAAATTGACTTGGTTCCCGGAACCAAATACTGTGTAACACGGCAGTGGCCTTTACCCAAAGAACAGTGTGACGTCATTGACGAGTTCTTTCGTGCAAAGCACGCGGCGGGCATGGTGCGTGAGAGTAAATCCCCGCACTCGACACCCACTTTCTGTGTTAAGAAACCAAATGGTAAATGGCGTATTGTTCATGCTTATAATAAGCTCAATGCGGCCACTATACCTGCACAGACACCGATACCTAGAAAGGATGTTCTTCAGAACAATATGGTCGGTTGTACCATGTACAGTGCGCTCGACTTAGTCGATGGTTATTACCAATTGCTCATGCGAGCTAGTGATATTCCGCTTACTGCTGTTAGTACTCCGAGCGGTATGCTCTGGGAGTGGTTAGTGATGCCCCAGGGGCTATCTAATGCTCCGGCTACGTTTAACCGTTTGGTGACGCAATTGTTTCGACCCCATCGAAGTTATGCACAGACGTATTTTGATGACATTTTTGTCCATAGCCGAGCTGAACATGGGCGGTCAGATATTGAGAACCATATTGTTCATTTACGAGCAGTGCTCGAGTGCATGCGCACTAATAAATTATATGCTAAAGCATCTAAGTGCATCTTCGGGGCCGAAGAGATTCCCTTTCTAGGGTGCTTCATTGGGAAGCGGGGCCTACGAGCGGATCCCGCCAAAGTCAAAGCCATAGTCGATTGGCCTGTTCCACAGTCTCAGAAGGACTTGCGTAAATGGCTTGGCTTTGCCAATTACTTACACAAGTATAGCGAGAATTACGCTGATATGGCTCGGCCGTTATCCAATCTCCTTAAAAAGGATGTGGAATGGTGTTGGCATGCTCAACACGAAGATGCTTTTCAAGCGGTGAAGGCGAGCCTTCTACATGCTCCTATTTTGGCTTTGCCAGACCCTGACCGACCGTTTAGCGTCGTCTGTGACGCATCGGACTTTGCCATTGGCAGTGCTCTGTTACAATCAGATGATGAAGGCCGTGAGCGTGTAATCGCTTTTAAATCTCGCCAGCTGAAAGCTGCAGAAAAGAACTATCCAGTTCATGACAAAGAGCTACTTGCGATGAAGTATGCCCTGGTCAAATTCAGAGTTCATCTGCTGGGCTCAAAGCCTTTTGTGATCTATACCGATCATGCGTCGTTACGCACTGCGACTCAGTCTTCCCATATCTCGCAGAGAATGGCCAGATGGCTGTCATTCTTTGCCGAATATAATTTTGAGGTGAAATATAAGCCGGGCAAGCAAAATGCTTTGGCTGATGTGTTGTCACGCAGACCTGACTATGAGCTTGCTCATGTGACGATGTTGTCGTCTTCTATCACCGATCTCATTCGTACGGCGTATGCTAAAGATGATAACTGTATAGCGTTGCTACATGCTCTTGGCAGTGAGGAATTAAAGACTCGGACATTAAATTGTCGGCACGATTACGTGCGAGCCTCCATCGATATTCTATCGATCAGGGGCTGTTGTACTATCGTACAGATGTAGCGAATCCTCCGCGTATTGTAGTTCCTCATGACGAGGACCTGAAGCATCGTATCCTCTATGAGGTACATGACACCGCCATCGGTGGTCATTTGGGTCGTGAAAAGACCTATGGGGCAGTATGCCAAAGTTATTGGTGGCCCAAATTATACAAATGGGTGAGTACATATGTGCGCACGTGTAAAACGTGTCAACGGGTGAAACCCTCGCCCCATTCGGCAGCGCCGCTGGCTAGCTTGCCTATTCCCACTGGGTGCTGGGAGTCCATTAGTATGGACTTTGTATTTAGCCTACCGAAAGATTCGCATGGCAATACAGGTATTGTGGTCTTTGTTGACCGTTTGAGCAAGATGGCTCACTTAGCGGCTGTGCCAGATTCGATCGATGGTATGGGTACAGCGGAGCTGTTTATCGATCGGGTGTTTCGCCAACATGGCTTGCCAGTGGCAATTGTTTCTGATCGTGATCCTCGTTTTACGAGTAAATTTTGGAAGTCCGTCTTCCAGGTGCTGGGCACTCGTTTGGACATGTCCACGGCGGATCATCCGCAGACCGATGGTCAAACTGAACGCATAAATCGCGTTGTTGAAGATATCCTACGCAGCGTTTGTGCTGAAACGCCTAAGCGTTGGAGCGCTATGCTCCCTGTAGTTGAGTTTGCTCTCAATAACTCCGTGCACGCCTCCACCGGCTACACTCCGTTCTATGTGAATGGTCTTACACACCCACGCGTTCCGTTAACGCTACCACCGAGTGGTTCAGGGCTTGGTGGGGGAGAGGTTGCCGATCGGCTTGCTGATGTCAGCCCTAATACTGTTAAGAAGCAGGTAAATGCGTTTCTCGCAACGCGACTAAATGTCTTACGACATGTGCAAGATGCAATGGCTGATAGTCAAGATAAACAAAAGGAATATGCAGATGCGAAAGGCAGAGGTTGTATTTATGATTATGAGGTCGGAGACCAAGTATTACTTAATGCTAAAAACCTACCTACCAATGTAGTATCCGCTGTCTATAAGACGAAGTTGCGTCCGCGCTTTATCGGACCCTTTAAGGTCATTGCCAAGAAAGGCACAGCGTATACGCTTAACTTGCCGCGCAAATTGCGTACACATCCTGTGTTCTATGTAGCCATGCTGAAACCTTATCGGGATCCGTCCCAAGTAAACGTTAAGGCGCTCGCGCCGAGCCCATTGGCATTGTCGCGGGACGAAGCATCTGCGCCAACATGTCAAGCTGACCCTGCATTCGGGTCCGACTCTCTTCCAGGGACTCAAGCCGGGAGTTCATCGTCTGCCTCTCCTCACGAAGGTCCGCACCTCCTGAACAAGCTCGGCATGAGCTTGTTCCGATACACCGACCTCCTCCTCCTTTGCTCGATGCGCAGGGGAACCTGCAGTTCCATGTGGAGCGTCTACTGCAGAAGCGTCGCCGCCATGGTCAAAACCAGTATCTGGTGAAATGGCGGGGTTATCCCGAATCATGGAATTCATGGGAATTTGAGACTCCCCTTCGGCAGGATTGCCCGTACGCCGTGGACGTTTTTGAGCGTCGTGCGCAGGGTCTGTCTGTTGGCGCTGACGCTTCTCACCAGTAAGGGTGAGGGCAGGCGGGTTAGCGGCCTCGGGCTGTCGTGAACTCGCGGCTACAGGGGTAGCCGAAACATTGGGCTGCTGGGCAGCAGGCGCATCATGCGTTCGTTGGGATTTCAATTTTCCCCGGGCCTTCAATTTAGCGTAATCATAACGCATCTTCCGCTCAAGTCGAACATCTGCCACATCGGCACTTGCCCGTAGGGCCCACATGCTGCTTAAACGTCGCGCATAATGCGCCCAGCGGCTGAAAGCCGTGTCTTCTTCTTTCTCGGTTTCCCCCGCGAACAGAAGGATGGGAACACCCTTTATGGGAGGGACTGGCGCACCGCGCACTTGCCTATTAAGGCGTGCCAAGTATTGGCTTTGTGTAGTGATGTGGGGTTCTAGATATCGTTGTCGAAGTGCCGTGCGTGTGGCAACATCCTCAGGTGAAATGGCCTCAGGCCCAATGGTCCAACCAGAAAGGGAATGCCCAGATGCTTCCTTTAGGCGTTCTTCCACCGTAGGTGGCTTGAACCTGTACTGTCGGTGGCCCTGCAGTCTTGTCATATTCTTCGCTCGGCGCTTGGCGCCTTCCTCTTGGTCGATGGACCGCTGTTGCTGCTCGTCGAGTGGGTTAGTAACCGTCGCCGTTGATGATACGTCAGGCGGGTCACGTAATGCTGTTAGCGCATCTGCTGCACCACGTTCAGGGAACGGATTCGGTGCATGACGAGTGTCATCTTCACCCGTGAGGATGGATAAAGGGGACCCATCGGGTCCCACAAAGACGGTGTCACTTTCGTAATCAACCGCTTCGTCAAGGTCGTCTTCAATGAGGTCCCGAAGAGTCTGTGACTCACTGCCGGGAGGCGTCATGTTATGTGCCGTGAACAAACCGTGAGGTTGTAAACGTTTGCTAAAGCACTACCTCTACGAGGAAAGATGTCGAGTGACATTCTATGGGAACGTCAGTCTGGTGGGGGAGGGTGTAACGGGGTTACACGACGGTTGTAGCGTCTTTCCGAGAGTTTACGCTTAAACTCTCCTTTCTATTGCATATAATGCATTATTATACTTCTCTTTAGAGAGGTATTAAGTATGAGCGTTATAATACGGTATTCGGTAATACCGTATCTTATCGATTGGGATTCGATAAATCACTAACGCTGTATTAAGTACATCATACACAGATGTTTAGACGATACGTCGTCCAATAGCAAAGTCTGCATATAATAATTACTATTATAGTAATTAATCTAGTGTAGTGTACTTAGAGTAGGACTATTCATAAACTCTTAAAGCATAAATATAATCAGTTCTCCTTTTGAGTTTAAGATCGCAAGTCGTTCTGACTTGTTTATCTTGTGCACTTCGTGCGCTGGTTCTTTGAACCTTTAAGCTTCTAGCTTGTTCTCACACTCTGTGCGTTAAGGTTCTCTGAGCCTGAAGCTTATTGCTTGTAGACTAAATGTCTCGTTCCTTAGAACAGGGTGACTTCTTACTCGTTTGATTAGTTCCTTAGAAATAAGTGGCTTTTAGCCTTAACTCTATATAGTTCTGTAGATATAAGAGGATTTCAGCCTAAAAGTCTTCCTCTGACGAAAGAGATGTGCAGCTCCGCTACACTGACTAATTATGCAAAGATTGGATACGCGTCTCTTTAGAAGCATATCCTTACGTTCGAGCTTAAAATTTAGTTATACTCTCTGGTAACGTCTGTTTAAAGCGTCACCATGACGCCCAGTTTTAACTGGCGTCATCCTCGTTGACTGTGACCCACCTTCGTGAATGTGATATTCATGGATGGATTCACATTCGACGGGGATGACGCCAGTTAGGACTGGGCGTCATGGTGACGCTTCAAACAGACGTCATCAGCGAGACTAAATGTATTTAAGCTCGCATGTAAGGATACGATTCTAAAGAGACTCGTATTTGAACTTTACATTTAACCAATCAGCAGTTAGATATATATCTAAGTATTTTTTTACTAGATATTTGTCAGACTTGAATTTGCTCAACATATTTCACTGCGCACGAGAAGCTAAATAAGCTTCTGTTTGTCGTTAGTGAAGCCCTTGTCTTAAATGTTCGTTGCGCGCTTCGACTAAAGCGACCGGCAACGGTCAGTACAGTGCTTTAGTGCCGACCAACACCATTACCACCGCACGCGGAGGTAAGGCGATCGAACCGCTTCCTCGCGCTGTTTGAAGGTGTTATGATCGTAGCACGTGGCAGCTTCGTTGAAGTGCCCTTTTAAACTTGGTAGCACCAGTAGTCCTTCCCACGACCCGTCTCTCTGAGCGTGCGTGCTGATACGGATGACCCACAATGGGTTGAAGGGATTTTCCTCACCTCTTCTAACATCATAGGGAGTTAGTTGGCTGAGCATTTGGCGCAGGGACTTGGTGAACAAGCCCTGGCCAACCTCTTAAGCTTTCCTCCTGAGCAACATGTTGCTCAGTTGGAGCAATGCGAGGCGTTTGTGCTCGGGCAGCGCAGAAATGCGTCCGAGGTAAATGACCAAGCAAAGGCCGAGTCCATCAATAAGACTCAGGATGAGCTTTTGCGTGAGAAAGCTCGAAACGAGGCGCTCAACAGAACTGTTGAGACGCTCTCGGCCCGGTCTAATCAACCGAGGCCCATTCGGATGGACCCTCCGAAGTTTGATGAGACTGCCCCTCATACGATTGTCCACTGGCTTTTATTAGTGGAGCAATGCGTTATGGGATAGCTCATTGAAGACGACACCAGGATGGTGTCGTATGCCATGTAAAATTTGCGTGGCAAAAGCGTCAGAGTGGGCTTACTCTGCGCTTATGGCAAACGCTGATGCGTTTTCATGATGGATTATCTTTAAGTCAAAGATTCGTGCTATGTAACAGCCGCCTAACGATGAAATTTTACTTCAGGCGCGCTTCTTTGGAGCACGACAGGCGAAACGATCTCTGCAAGAGTATGTGAAGGAGATGCGTTCGCTGTCTGCTTTCATTAATGTGAGTCCGATACCGGGAAACATTAGGGTGCCTATGTTCATGAACGGACTACGGCACGGCCCATCGCGTCTGGACCTTTTTAAAAAGGTGCCAAAGACGATGGAGGAGGCAATTAGTATTGCCATGGATGAGGAGCAATCCTACAACATCGCCTTGGCGACAGCTTTTTATAAACCGTCAGCCGAGAAGTCGGATGCCACTCCAATGGAGTTAGGCAATGCAGACGTGGTCTGCAACAAGTGCGGCAAGCGCGGACATATGATGCCTCGCTGCTATGCCAAACTTGCTGCTGATGCTATGTCATGAAGCAAAAGAGCTCATCACCCGAAGGGAGGTGCGAAAAACCAGCGTGCACGACGCACGGGTTCAGCACCTGCCCAAGATGGGTCGGGAATTATGGTAGCGCGGTAGGGGCGGGATGCCCTACTGTCGCGGAATCTGAAGCTACCCCTATGTTCAGAGTTATCGAACAAATGGTTAGCATAGTCCCTGAGGTTCCGAAAGGTCGGACCTCAACCCTTTTGGTCTATAGCGCTCGAGTACGAGGCTATGACCAAGTGATGACCCTTCTCGTGGTTTCGGATGCATCACAAAACTTTGTGAAACTCGCAGCTCTGAAAAAGAGACCGACGAGTTATGAGTCGCTTTGCCAGGATGGCAAGCGAGAAGAGGCAATCGTTCGTTTAGCGAACGGCGCGCTCGATAAATCGGAGGGAGTTCAAGTTGAACTCGCCTTCAGTTTCAGTGACTTCTCTTGTAAAGAGAAGTTCACAGTGCTAGGTATGGAGAGTCCAAATGACCTCATCCTAGGCATGCCTTGGTTGGCTAAACACCAACCATGGATAGACTGACGTACACGCACAGTCGCTAGCTCTACGCAAGACACCAAAAAGGATGTGCTCTTGCGAGAGGCTTATGTGGCTGATGCTGTGTCCAACCCAGTCGAGGGTGCGATGACGGTATGTCAATCGACACTAGGAACTACCCAGATAGAAAGGAGTGGTGTTGTTGGAAGTGCACCGGCGGAAAGCCAGGTGACACATATTCGACCTGGGTGTTCCTACCCAGGTCGAAAAGTCTGGTGTAGTGAATGGGGCGATGACAGGTAGTCATGCGTCCAATAGTCCTGCACAGAGCCGAGAGCCTGTGGCAGTTGATGTTGGGCTGACAGGAAGTCAAACGCCACAAGAACCGGCACAGAGCCCTGGTGCGGTTGGAAGGAGTGCGTTAGCTGAGATAGCAACGACACCTTCTTCCAGGTCAAAGGTCGTGGCGACTCGAAGAACGAGCACCAGACGTATTAAGACGATCAAGGGCAGTGACCCTTGGATCAGTATAGGTACAAGAGGACGGACCTACGAACGAGTTGCTCGAGGTCGTCGATGACAAGATGCCGATGGCATCCTCAGTTGAGGTGCTCCAACTTGTCTTGGCATCTGCCGAGGAGATAGTAAATCTCTCGGAGATGACGTGGGATCTGTTCCTGTCCGAATTGAAAGGAAGGAATGATCCATGATATAGTCGCACTAGTTCCAAAAGAGAATGTGGTGGACTGTTGATCGTCGTCCACAATGGAAGAGCATCTTCTAGACCGACAAGAAGAAACGGTTCGCTGCTCAAGGCTAAGAAGTCTTGAAGGACAGCCCGTTCTGTGATGTTCTGTGGAAACACCGTGATGTGTTTCAAGCAGAAGTGCCGAGCCGCCTACCGGCCGATAGGGGCATCAGGCGCGAGATAGACCTGGAGCCTGGCACCAAGTATTGTGTGACCAGGCATTGGCCGTTTCCGGAGGAACAAGTCGATTACATCGATGAGCCAAGGCGGGACATGTACGTGAGAGCAAGTCGCCTCACTGCAGCCCGAACTTTTGTGTGCGTAAAGCAACAGGTGTATGGCGCGTGGTTTATGCTTATAATAAGCTGAGCACGGCCACCATTCCAGCTCAAACGCCGATTCCGCGGAAAGATGTTTTGTTGAATTCCATGGGAAAGTCAACTATCTCTTCCGCGTTGGATCTGAAGAATAGCTACTATCAGGTTCTCATGAGAGATACTGACGTAGCCAAAACGGCAGTAAACACCCCAAGTGGGAGTGGCTTGTGATAAAAAATGCTCCGGCAACATTCAGCTGAGTGGTGGCTCACGTGATGCGTCAGCACTGTGCTTACGCGCCCCATTACTTTGACGATGTATTAGTGCATAGTAGGGCGGAGGACGGTCTGAGCGCAAGATCCATTTAGACGCTATGTTGCAGACTCTGGGTAACGCCCAATTATACGTGAACTTGCAAAAGTGCGTAATAGGGGTCCCCGAGATACCTGTACTGGGCTGCATCGTAGGTGCACATGGTGTACGAGCAGACACAGAAAAGGTAAAGGCTGTAAAGGAATGACAAGTCCCACGACATGTGAAGGATCTGCGCCAATTCTTTGGGCTCGCTAATTTCTTGCATAAGTACAGCAAGAATTATGCGGAGCAGACCAAGCCATTGTCTGACCTTTTAAAAAAGGATACAGAATGAACTTGGTCAAAGGAACAAAAAGATGCGTTCACTTCAGTGAAGCAATCTCTTGTAGAGGCACCGGTCTTGGCATTGCCAGACGCGGATAAGCCCTTTAGCGTCGTCTGCGATGCAAGCAATTTTGCAATCGGCATCGCGCTCATGCAAAAGGATGACAACGGCGTTGACCGTGTCATATCGTATCAGTCTCGGCTTTTAAAAGCTGCCGAGCTGAATTACCCTGTGCATGACAAGGAGCTACTTTCAATTAAGTATGCCCTTGTGAAGTTTCGGGTGCACCTCTTGGGCACCGAACCTTTTGTGGTTTATACGGATCACGCATCCCTGCGATATAGCGGCCCGCTATAAACTCATGATACTTCACGATTGCCATGATGCGCCATCTAGTGGGCATCTGGGTCGTAAAAATACATTCTTACGAGTGTCAGAGGAATTTTGGTGGCCTCACCTATATCGGTGGGTGGCCAACTATATTCGCTCTTGCGAAGAGTGTCAGCGCATAAAGCCTGCACCTTCGAAAAGTGCGCCACTGAAGCCACTGCCGATTCCAACGGATTGTTGGAAGTCGGTCCGATTGGACTTCATGCTTGGCTTATCGCCTGACCATAAAGACAGGACGGGGCTCGTTGTCTTTGTATACAGACTGAGCAAGATGGTGCATTTGGCACCATGGTGCACAAAGATATCTGGAAAAAAGGCTGCCCTCTTGTTTCTAGATCACGTGTACCGACTACACGGGATGCCTGAGTCCATAGTATCGGACCGGGATCCGCGTTTTACGTCGGGTTGTGGCGACGTGTGTTTGAGCTGCTGGGTAGCAAGCTCCACATGTCAACCGCTGATCATCCCCAGACCGATGGTCAATCTGAACGTGCCAATCGAGTTGTGGCGGATGTGTTGCGTACAATAGCGACTCCTAAAGAATGGAGCAAGCAATTGCCATTCGTGGAGCTCGCTATTAATGATAGTGTTTATGCCAGTACGGGTGAAACACCGTTTTACATTAACGAACTGCGTCATCCTCGAACGCCAGTCTCGTTTGTACGCAGCCCGAGTCTTAGTGGGGGAGGGCATCTCACTTTGCTCGGTGCGAATGCCAAAGAGGGACAAGGTTGCCCTCGTGACACTGCTAGTTTAGAAGTGGTTACGACACCTATAAGTGTCACAGAGGAGGCACGGTAAGAAATGCCAGTGCTCCTTGATGATGACACTATAGTGTTGTCAACAGCGTCGACCCATGAACGACCTCTTGAAGGCGTCATCGGCGAGCTGGATGCTAAAAGCGTTATCGAAGCTCAGAGGTTTGTGGATGAGCGATTAGCCATTACACGTAAAGTCCGTGACGCGATGGCAAGCGCACAGGGCAAGCAAAAAAAATATGCAGACCAGCATGGTCGCAAAAACAATGAACACTTAAGTGTGGGGGACAAAGTGCTATTAAGTACTGCTACCCTACCTAAACATGGAATCTCTGTACTACCTGGTAGTACTACTAATCTATTGCCCCGATTCATTGGGCCATTTACAGTGGTCGGGGAGGTTGGATACCTAAACTATAGGCTCACTCTCCCATCGTATATGAAGACGCACCCCGTATAAAAAAAATACGTGGGTCGTCTGAAACGGTATGTGGATCCACAAGAGATCACATATACGCATCAGTCTAACGAAACCGATAGTGACGTCGACTGTGAGTCGAATGTCGTTGCCTATCAGGCGAGGTGGAAGAAGAACGACTCCCCGTATACTAGAAAGTCGACAGAGGCCTCGGTGATCGAGGAGGACTCTGCGTTGGACACGGGTATCTCACCATTAGTCGCTCATGTACTTTCAAAATAATTTTGAAGAGGTCATACCCCTGACAACCCCTCGTATTCGCAGCGCGTAGATCCAAAGTCAGTCGCGAGACTTGACTCGAAAGATCCGCCACCACTTTCTTCAGCGCAACAATTTCCGCCTGCGACTGAACGACAACAGGATAGGCAGCCGCGAATAGTTGGGCATAAACGCCGATCGTATCGGTTGTCACCTGTGCTGGTGGATGCGGGTGGAACACACGCTTCCAATGCTGGAAAGTTGTGGGGCCACCTCCATATGAATCAAAAGCTTCAGATCTTAGTCTAGTGGAAGGGATAACCGAAGAGCTTCAAACTTTTAAACCATTTGACGCGTTGCGTGTCGGCGTGCCTGGGCTGGTGGCTGCTTACGAGCAAAGCGTTAGCGGTTTTTGCTCTGCTATGTACTGATGAACTAGCAGGGTAGCGTAGCGAGAAGGAGGTGGGGGTATGTTATCACCCAATATTTCACTCGCAAGCGTCATAGCGAAGATAATTCGCTGCGACCGCTGTTTCACTGCATCTACATGCGGCGTTAAACGGCGCAGTAATTCTGCTTCGTATTCGTCGGTTGTTTCGTTAGAACACAACATGATGGGGAAAGGAAAAAACGACCTAGTGCTTTCCCCTGCCTTTATCATGATGGACAGACGCTAAAAATTAATTAGCGTCAGTACCGGTACGCCTTAAAAGCGTCGCACTATTGCCACTCGAGTGTGGCCACTCGGATGGAGGTGGCATTACTGGCACTTACCCCTCACGTAGCCGTCCTCACGACGGCGTTTTAGTGAGGTCGACTGCGAAGTCGAAAGGGCTTTTTGCTCACCTTCGCCTGAGTCTGACTCTCCATTATGGGTTATCAAGGCATCAGACGTAGGTTTGACAGAGGCAGACGATTTAGAATGTGACCTGCGGTGTTGAGCCGCGGTCGTTTCTTTTGAAGCAGCGCGCTCAGTTGTGGTCGCTGCGCTCGTTGGCGCAGACGAAGAGGCATGGACCTCGCTCTCAGGAATCATAGAAGCTTCCTGAAGGATAAGTGTCTCAAATGATGAGTACAAATGTCCCATCAGAGCACTGTGCTCATCACCACTTTGAAGCGATGGCAATGGAGTGATCTCATTGTAGTAACAATGAGAGACAAGTCTTCATCCGCACAATAGTGGGATGGACCAGTTTTCTCTGTTGTCAAGCTGACATTATATGTCTGAGTTGTCACAGAGACACTTAGCGACGACTGCGAGTTATCGCGGCGCGTGCGCTTTGTGTTGTTCGGCATGGGCGCCGTTGCAGGCGACCCGTCAGCCTTATCACGCTTCGGCGGCATCGCCTCTTTTTCGATGTTTTACAAAAATGCAAAAATCGTCTCAAAGAGGGTAATGGTGTAACGGGCTAAAAGCTACATGGAGCTCGTTAAGTATATGTTACTTGACGGGGAGGTCTAAAAAGGGTATGCGGTACCTTTAACCACCCACTCGGGTGAGTCACACCAATGTGACCCTTTATCGTGAATGAGATATTCATTGATGAATTCACATTCAGCAGGGATGACGCCCAGTTGGGACTAGTCGTCATGGTGACCTCACGTCATCAGCGATGCTTTATTATATTAAGCCCGCACGTATGATACGCATCTAAAGAGACGCGCATCCAATCTTTGCATAATTAATCAATAAGAAGTATAAATTATATTATTTTATTTTTTTATAAATATAAGTCAGTCTTGAATTTCCTTACTACCTCTCACTGCCCCTGAAAAGCTGAATAATTTTCTGCGTGGCGCAAGTTGTGCTCTTATTATAAGTTTGTTGTGCGACTCTCTTCGGCGACCGGCAACTATTGGTACGACCGCTTAAGCAGTCGTTCAAGCATTCCAGCACCGCGCACGGAGGAAAGACGGTCTAGACGCTTCCTCGCGAGCTTGAAGGTGTGTGCCAAAGTAGCACAAGGCAACTTCATCGAGTAATTTCAGCCGTAAATTTGTTTAGCTCTTCAAATTGAGAGGCTTTTACCTTTAAAGTCTTTTTCTAACTAAAGCGCTTTATAGCTCTGCTACACTTGGTAAAGTTGTAGTCCTCCCACACCTAATTTGTAAAAATAAGGACCCTCTGAAAGAATAGAGAGTAGTATTCACCTCTTTTAGGCGCAACGCGTCGCGCTTAAT